GGCCACATGGTTTCTCCATACTTCCTCCTTCAGTGCCTTCCTTTACTGAGGTTGGGTCACATGGCCTCTTCATATCTCCCTCCTTTAGTGCCTTCCTCTACTGAGGGTGGGCCACATGGTCTCTCCATATCTCCCTCCTTCAATGCCTTCCTTTACTGAGGTTGGGTCACATGGCCTCTTCATTTCTCCCTCCTTTAGTGCCTTCCTCTACTGAGGGTGGGCCACATGGTTTCTCCATACTTCCTCCTTCAGTGCCTTCCTCTACTGAGGTTGGGTCACATGGTCTCTCCATATCTCCCTCCTTCAGTGCCTTCCTTTACTGAGGTTGGGTCACATGGCCTCTTCATATCTCCCTCCTTTAGTGCCTTCCTCTACTGAGGTTGGGTCACATGGTCTCTCCATATCTCCCTCCTTCAATGCCTTCCTTTACTGAGGTTGGGTCACATGGCCTCTTCATATCTCCCTCCTTTAGTGCCTTCCTCTACTGAGGGTGGGCCACATGGTTTCTCCATACTTCCTCCTTCAGTGCCTTCGTCTACTGAGGTTGGGTCACATGGTCTCTCCATATCTCCCTCCTTCAGTGCCTTCCTTTACTGAGGTTGGGTCACATGGCCTCTTCATATCTCCCTCCTTTAGTGCCTTCCTCTACTGAGGTTGGGTCACATGGTCTCTCCATATCTCCCTCCTTCAATGCCTTCCTTTACTGAGGTTGGGTCACATGGCCTCTTCATATCTCCCTCCTTTAGTGCCTTCCTCTACTGAGGGTGGGCCACATGGTTTCTCCATACTTCCTCCTTCAGTGCCTTCCTCTACTGAGGTTGGGTCACATGGTCTCTCCATATCTCCCTCCTTCAGTGCCTTCCTCTACTGAGGTTGGGTCACATGGCCTCTTCATATCTCCCTCCTTTAGTGCCTTCCTCTACTGAGGTTGGGTCACATGGTCTCTCCATATCTCCCTCCTTCAATGCCTTCCTTTACTGAGGTTGGGTCACATGGCCTCTTCATATCTCCCTCCTTTAGTGCCTTCCTCTACTGAGGTTGGGTCACATGGTCTCTCCATATCTCCCTCCTTCAATGCCTTCCTTTACTGAGGTTGGGTCACATGGCCTCTTCATATCTCCCTCCTTTAGTGCCTTCCTCTACTGAGGTTGGGTCACATGGTCTCTCCATATCTCCCTCCTTCAATGCCTTCCTTTACTGAGGTTGGGTCACATGGCCTCTTCATATCTCCCTCCTTTAGTGCCTTCCTCTACTGAGGTTGGGTCACATGGTCTCTCCATATCTCCCTCCTTCAATGCCTTCCTTTACTGAGGTTGGGTCACATGGCCTCTTCATATCTCCCTCCTTTAGTGCCTTCCTCTACTGAGGGTGGGCCACATGGTTTCTCCATACTTCCTCCTTCAGTGCCTTCCTCTACTGAGGTTGGGTCACATGGTCTCTCCATATCTCCCTCCTTCAATGCCTTCCTTTACTGAGGTTGGGTCACATGGCCTCTTCATATCTCCCTCCTTTAGTGCCTTCCTCTACTGAGGGTGGGCCACATGGTTTCTCCATACTTCCTCCTTCAGTGCCTTCCTCTACTGAGGTTGGGTCACATGGTCTCTCCATATCTCCCTCCTTCAATGCCTTCCTTTACTGAGGTTGGGTCACATGGCCTCTTCATATCTCCCTCCTTTAGTGCCTTCCTCTACTGAGGTTGGGTCACATGCCATACTTCCTCCTCAGTGCCTTCCTCTACTGAGGGTGGGCCACATGGTCTCTCCATATCTCCCTCCTTCAATGCCTTCCTTTACTGAGGTTGGGTCACATGGCCTCTTCATATCTCCCTCCTTTAGTGCCTTCCTCTACTGAGGTTGGGTCACATGCCATACTTCCTCCTCAGTGCCTTCCTCTACTGAGGTTGGGTCACATGGTCTCTCCATATCTCCCTCCTTCAATGCCTTCCTTTACTGAGGTTGGGTCACATGGCCTCTTCATATCTCCCTCCTTTAGTGCCTTCCTCTACTGAGGTTGGGTCACATGCCATACTTCCTCCTCAGTGCCTTCCTCTACTGAGGGTGGGCCACATGGTCTCTCCATACTTCCTCCGCCATCTTCTTCATCTCCTCGTAGGTGTGTCATCCAGTCCATTGTTCAGATCGTCTGTGTATCCCTGTCGTCTCCTTCCCCTGGAATATATAAATTGTCCTATATTGCTTAATCTAAAATATATAGCACAGAATATATATTCCATTTTTATCAAAAGGTAAATCCATCATCAAAATAGCGTTATAACAATGAACGTTCTATTTTATAAAGAGAATATTAATTTATAGAAAGAGATAAGTATGGCACAATGATTGCCGCTAATTCACTTCGAGTTGTGTGAGAAATAAATTAGCAAATTAAACCAGAACGTCTCAACTCCCAGAGGATTCCGCCCACCAACATCCATAAAATTGCTCTTAAGAAGTTAAAGGCATTTTTATTCCCCAACTCCTGGTGACAATTTCTGGGGAATTTTTATGTCGCAGCCAATCTTCGGGAGTGTGGAGCTGTAATTGATGGACTGGTGTGGTTAACTTTAATTATTATAACTATTACTCCATCTTTATTGGCTCTATCTCTCTAGGTAATTCATCTCTTCCTTCCTCGCCAATTTATGTGAAATAGTTAGAGGCCATTTTAAAAATAAAACATTCTCTATCATAATTTAACCATTCCTATAATTCTAATCTGTAGATTTTGATTATTATTTAATCTTAGAATAATAGAAAATATTATAATCTTAATTGATACTTTGAATTAACATTCGATAATTAGGGATGTTGGAATTCTGCCTTTGCCAGTCCCAAGCCTGAGAAAAAGAAGGAGGGGGAGCAGTAACAAGCTCGCTAAAAACCTGGGCTCAGCTGGCCCGGCTGATAGTACCCTGTAAAGGCTCCTGATCCAGGGTTACAGGATGAGCAGTGTTTGTACTCCATGTTAGGAGCGGCTTCACATGGTGTCTGTTCCTCATGTCAGAGGCGGCCATTTCTTTCGGAGGTAAGTCGACCTGCCACTGTGAAGTGCTCCCAGTCTTAATGACAAAGGCAGACGTATTCTATTTCAGCGAGGCATGATGGTTGTCAATTCTACAAGCTTGATACCCTAGTGTAATTGAGTGGAGATAAGAAAGAAGAAGAAGGAATGTTGTTTAGAAATATCATTATGAAGAATATTTGCGACAGGGTTATTCACTAACGTTTAAAGCAGAAAAATAAAGAATTATATAATTTGTAATTATATAGATATATACTCTTATAACTCAATAATATAACAATATAATTATATTTTGAAGATCATTCATTGGTCAGAATTTGATTCAGAGAAAAACACATCAACCAATAGTTTTTTTCAACTATCAAAATTTCAGTTTCTGTCACTCTCTTCAGGGGAATGTTTACTTTGAATCCTAGTTCTACTTATATACATACACTCTTTTATGAAATATATACAAAGCGATCACGTATATGCATATATGAGGAATATAAGTAGATACGTATATATAATCAAGGATTCAAAGTAACCATTCCACTGAAGAGAACGAAAGAAAGTCACTGAAACATCAGGAGTCAAATAAACTACTATTTGAAGAGTTTTTTCTCCTGAAATACTTCTTATTTTTAAATAGAGTATTGATTTTCATATATTTTCCTTAACAACAAACATTTCTCATTGCCTCTTTATGGCAGCTGATCAAATTTAATTGTATAAATTGCCTTATTATCTTTTTAGGTTGGTAAATTTTTCAAGATATTTAATGCGATATATAGATTTTAGAATAACTCTCAAATATGTATCTTTATCTTAGATGAAAATGATAAAAACAATATTTTGTATATTGTTTAAAAAAAGAGGAAGATAGAAGAAGTAACTGATCACCGGAGGATTTTATTGAACGGTAACATTTAAAAGGTAAGATAGCATAACACTGCAGACATCGATTTATATATAATAGTAACAAACAACAGGGTAACAAGTCAGTGGCTAAAAACAATATTAATAATTTATTAACTATGACATACTATAACACACATTATACTAATTGAAATTAAATGGGAATATATTTGGCTACGAACTTCTGCGAATACATAATCTGCATTAATACTATGATATGGTCTACTGATAAAAATTCGATGTAAATATCTATAGCTACGTATTTCTAAGAATGCATAACAGGCATTAACACCACGACATATTCTATATGGCATGTTCAACGAATAGAAATTAAAAGATAACATTAATAAAAACGACAGCTCCAATAAACTCAAATAGGCATTTAATAAATGATCACAAGAAATGTATTTTATTAGTTTGTTTTATTCCCCACTCGAACAGTTAATTATACAATTTCCAATAGACCTGTTGGATACAAGTGTTCCACGGAATAAATGAAAAATTCCATTTTGATATTTTTAAACGGCGAAAATATCTCGAGGTTTAAATAAATAGAGATTTAGATAAACACGCCAATGTTTACCTTGACAAAATGCTTCCTCCAGAAATAAATAATTTCCTTGAGAGTTTCTCTTAAAGGAGTAAAAAGATAAAGATGGGAAAAGAGAAGCTAAATTCACCTCCTCTCTCTCTCTTCTAGATTTTTCTCCGAGTTATATATTAAACACAAGGCAATAAAGATATTTATAAAATAAACATTTTATATGATATTTTTTACTTTTAATATTATTTATTAAATGATTATTATATAAAATTGTTTCATTAATATATTGATTTATCTTTTATTATAAGTGTTGATGATTTTATTTGATATGCTGCTGTGTGTGTGTTGTTTGATTTATTTTAGAAATGTTTTTAATAAATAGCAATCTATATATAAATCTACATTTGAAGCTACACCGCATGAGTTTATTTTCAACGAAAATAAATATTTTATTTCAAGGTGAAATATCGACTATTTCTATCCTTTTTGGATGAGGTATGAAAGGGTGAATTATGAGGAGTAATGACGAACGGAAAAATAAAAGTGTCCAGGGATGGGAATCGAACCCACAATGTTCCGCTTACCGGGCAGATGTCATGTTCACTAGGCTATAATTCACCCTTTCATACCTCATCCAAAAAGGATAGAAATAGTCGATATTTCATCTTGAAATAAAATATTTTTTTTCGTTGAAAAGAAACTCGTGCGGTGTAGCTTCAAGTGTCGTTTTACAATCACAGGCCGCAGTGTATTATATTATATATAAATCTATATATAAAAAATGGCATATCCTGACCAGGAGCACATGTGCTTTACAGAAGGCAGAGCGCCATCTGGTGGAACAGAAATCAACTAAACATTGATTTAGCCTGTTCCCTGATATTTGGCCAACCCAATTTCTTGATAAATCAAGAAAAGCCATCCACGAACGCGTTTCGCGCTTTTTGGCGCTCGTCAGCGTGGAGTAGGCTGAACCATTGAGACCAAAAAAGATTTTTTGATCCCAATGGCTTCCTGAAAAACCAAGAAATGGGTATTTAAGGCCAAACTTGCGTAAATACGCTTAGCACATTAAAAAACGAAATAAAAAAATAAAAGATAAAAAGATCAGGTGTTGAAATCAATATAAAAAATGGCATATCCTGACCAGGAGCACATGTGCTTTACAGAAGGCAGAGCGCCATCTGGTGGAACAGAAATCAACTAAACATTGATTTAGCCTGTTCCCTGATATTTGGCCAACCCAATTTCTTGATAAATCAAGAAAAGCCATCCACGAACGCGTTTCGCGCTTTTTGGCGCTCGTCAGCGTGGAGTAGGCTGAACCATTGAGACCAAAAAAGATTTTTTGATCCCAATGGCTTCCTGAAAAACCAAGAAATGGGTATTTAAGGCCAAACTTGCGTAAATACGCTTAGCACATTAAAAAACGAAATAAAAAAATAAAAGATAAAAAGATCAGGTGTTGAAATCAATATAAAAAATGGCATATCCTGACCAGGAGCACATGTGCTTTACAGAAGGCAGAGCGCCATCTGGTGGAACAGAAATCAACTAAACATTGATTTAGCCTGTTCCCTGATATTTGGCCAACCCAATTTCTTGATAAATCAAGAAAAGCCATCCACGAACGCGTTTCGCGCTTTTTGGCGCTCGTCAGCGTGGAGTAGGCTGAACCATTGAGACCAAAAAAGATTTTTTGATCCCAATGGCTTCCTGAAAAACCAAGAAATGGGTATTTAAGGCCAAACTTGCGTAAATACGCTTAGCACATTAAAAAACGAAATAAAAAAATAAAAGATAAAAAGATCAGGTGTTGAAATCAATATAAAAAATGGCATATCCTGACCAGGAGCACATGTGCTTTACAGAAGGCAGAGCGCCATCTGGTGGAACAGAAATCAACTAAACATTGATTTAGCCTGTTCCCTGATAATGTGCTAAGCGTATTTACGCAAGTTTGGCCTTAAATACCCATTTCTTGGTTTTTCAGGAAGCCATTGGGATCAAAAAATCTTTTTTGGTCTCAATGGTTCAGCCTACTCCACGCTGACGAGCGCCAAAAAGCGCGAAACGCGTTCGTGGATGGCTTTTCTTGATTTATCAAGAAATTGGGTTGGCCAAATATCAGGGAACAGGCTAAATCAATGTTTAGTTGATTTCTGTTCCACCAGATGGCGCTCTGCCTTCTGTAAAGCACATGTGCTCCTGGTCAGGATATGCCATTTTTTATATTGATTTCAACACCTGATCTTTTTATCTTTTATTTTTTTATTTCGTTTTTTAATGTGCTAAGCGTATTTACGCAAGTTTGGCCTTAAATACCCATTTCTTGGTTTTTCAGGAAGCCATTGGGATCAAAAAATCTTTTTTGGTCTCAATGGTTCAGCCTACTCCACGCTGACGAGCGCCAAAAAGCGCGAAACGCGTTCGTGGATGGCTTTTCTTGATTTATCAAGAAATTGGGTTGGCCAAATATCAGGGAACAGGCTAAATCAATGTTTAGTTGATTTCTGTTCCACCAGATGGCGCTCTGCCTTCTGTAAAGCACATGTGCTCCTGGTCAGGATATGCCATTTTTTATATTGATTTCAACACCTGATCTTTTTATCTTTTATTTTTTTATTTCGTTTTTTAATGTGCTAAGCGTATTTACGCAAGTTTGGCCTTAAATACCCATTTCTTGGTTTTTTCAGGAAGCCATTGGGATCAAAAAATCTTTTTTGGTCTCAATGGTTCAGCCTACTCCACGCTGACGAGCGCCAAAAAGCGCGAAACGCGTTCGTGGATGGCTTTTCTTGATTTATCAAGAAATTGGGTTGGCCAAATATCAGGGAACAGGCTAAATCAATGTTTAGTTGATTTCTGTTCCACCAGATGGCGCTCTGCCTTCTGTAAAGCACATGTGCTCCTGGTCAGGATATGCCATTTTTTATATTGATTTCAACACCTGATCTTTTTATCTTTTATTTTTTTTATTTCGTTTTTTAATAAATCTATATATGAAAGGCTGGATTAAAATGTCTACTTAATGCTAGTTTATTCATACGATTTTGGCACTATATGAACTATATATATCCTGTAGTATAGCCAAGATATTTGAATGCTTAATATACAATACCTGATACTGAATTTATCAGCACTAAGAAATATTCGGTAAAAATTCTGAATAAAGATATAAGCAGTAAGGAACACTAAATGATTTTTATCAGAACAGAATACACCTATACACTGAGAGATGTCCAATCAATATGTTGTGGGACCACCGCTCAAGATTTCTTTTCGCTCCTTTCCATCTTCATGCGCCAAATTGACTCATGATCAGAAAAATCGATAATTCCTCTTTCTGAATGTTCATGTTTGTTTCTTCTTGCTTAAAGAGATTCAACTTTTCTTTTTTTTTTTTTTTCTTAAGGGATAGCGATCCAGCTTCTCCACAAGTTGTGGCGTAGATGTCAAGTCTTTGTATATCTGAAGGTGTGAAAGTATTTATTGATGACGTCACGGCGACTAGTCAACAATTATTAAAAAATTAGCCAAACTATCTACAGCTTGAGAATATCGAGCAAGCAAGCTAGGTAACTAAATAATGATTTAGGAAATGTAAAATTTTAAATCTGTTTCCAAATATTTCCATTGAATAATTATATTAAATCTGTTTCCAAATATTTTCATTGAATAATTGAATTTAAATGATAAATTAATTGTTCGTTAATATATTTAGTTACAAATTTACTCGCTAGATAACGGTACAAGTACTTTCGAGTCATTAACAGATTTGAAATCGATGTAGTTTATATAAACATTCCATTTTACACGTAAAGACGTTGTAAAAACTGTGATACACCCAGTATAATTAGGTTCGTAGATGTATTGGTTATTTTTACACTTTTTTGCGTATGTTTTAACCTCCCATGAGCGACCGTGTGAAGCATGTCTCTCCTGGAAGGTGATGGTCTCTCAATGGAGTTTGAGTTATATGAGGATATTGTATTTTACAAGGATGCCGTCACTCATATGGAAGTTTTACTGACTATCTATGAGTGAGCTAATACCATTTGGTCGTTGGGAATTTCAAATAGAGTGGCTCTCTTCATCTCAGCCAAACATTTCTTCTTTTGTCGAATTATATTGACAAACATTTGCACTTTTATCTTATAAAAGTTTTTAGTGGGAAGAATTTTGGTTTCGTTTGTTAGTGAATCAATCTCTCCCGCCTTCTCATTGGACGAATGTGGCCACGTGGGTATATATAAGAGGGGGCTATGGTATTGCGAGAGAAGAGTGTGGTGGATCCTGGGAAGTTTATTTAATATACATTTATAGCACTTATAAGATTCTACCGCTACGATCCGGGTTCGATTCCCGCATTGGGCACTTTTTTCTGATAAAAAAAATGCTCCAATGGACCCCCGATTCTTGCAAAAGTCTAACCCCACCAGCGAGTGCAAGTAACCAAACGGGGCTCTGGCAAATTTAGTGCACATAAGTGCAAGTCGAACTGCTTTTCATATGTGTATACATGTGGTGTACTTACAGTAAAAGCAGTCACCAACTTCTACCTACCATGATTATCATCATGGCCTGTACCACGTGTACTAGGAATAGGCAAAAAAAATATATTCAATCAAGAAAGCATCGCGCTATTAGAATTATATATTTATTATAGCTCTATTGTTTACAAAGAGTTTTGCCAAATATTTGTATTTATACAGATTATTTCTAAACAAAAGGAAGCACAATATTTTCAGAATACCAAAAAAAAAAAACATTTTAAAATGATGCAGTATGTACACAATATTATATAGAGCTGTATGATGGAATAAAATTGCGCACCTGATGGGAGGGTATTCAATAAAAAAGGCATATATTGGTTTTAAAAAAAATCACATGCCAATATTTAAGTTAACTGAACACCAACCTTTTTTCAAGGTACAACAGCGTATTCATGTAAACAACAAACGTTGTTGTACCTTGAAAAAGGTTGGCGTTCACCCGACTAAATATATTGGCAAAAAATATTATATTTTATCCAATATATCCCTTTTAAATTCAATATATATTTATGGATTGCTCTCTATTCGAAAGAAAACGAAGTAAAAAATGCTTTATTATAAAAGAAGAAATTTGCGTTAAAAAGAGTTTCAAAAATTAGTAGTGTGATAATTAAATTATACGAATCTATTGGGGGAACTCTTCATTAGTTCAATGTACCATATAGGGATAATTATAAATAAATAGCAAATCGCGACATAGATCCCAATATATAATTATAAAAAAATACTAAAATATACCTATTAATCTGATGAAATGCTTACTTTCAAACTTCTTAATATTTAAGAAAAAAAAAGTGCCTCTCTTTATTGTTCAGCTGAAAGTTGCTGATGGCTTGCCCTATCTATAGGAATAAATATCAACTTTTCGTTGATTTTTAAATATTACAGATTTGGTCAAATAGTCATTCTTGATTGATTAAGAAAAGCTTTACTACGTACGCGTTTCGGGCTCTAAATAATTAAAATTCAATAAATAGTTGATATTGTCGCGGCTGGACCCTACCCGGTTCTCTGCGACAACGCCGCTTCCTCCTTCGTGGAAACCTACTCAGGCTCCCGTTGCTCTT